AAGATTCATTCATCTCCCATGGTACACTTGGTGTTTGGTCCCCTTTGCCCATAGCTGTTCTCCAAACACTGAGGAAGCTGCATCCTCCCTGGCACTCACCAAGGATGGGAAAGCTCCTTTCCCACCTCCCCAATTCTGGGTGGCAAGAGGATAAACAACTGAGTCCACTCAAAGGGGTTCTGGACCCAGTCCCTGTGGATACTGAGGGATAATTGTACCATAAGAATTGTGAAGAGAGTAGAGCAAAGACAACAGCTGGCTATAGAGGCTCCCTGAGATAGTCAACTTAGAATTCAACATAATACAGCGTGTGGAGCCATAAACAGAGGGAGATGAATTCTCTCATCCCAAGAAGAAACTAAGGTGAGAAGAACCAACCAAATATACAGTCCCGGTGCTATTATTGGAACAGTTAAAGGATCAGTGTTCCCGCCACAATGGGTGACTTGCCAACCATCCGAGGTCCCACTGCATCGACTCACTGGAGGTGCAGTCACACTGAGGTTGGGGGTCAGCCAGCTGAGGTCGGCCAGAGAGCTGAGCTGGCGGGGAGCCTGCATCAACCTGTGGTGAGTGACAGGAGTGGAGCCATTCCACAAAAGGGGGCCTCCAGCAGATGACATTCTGGCACTGGGCAGGACTGGCAAGTACAAAGGGCAGCAGTGACTTCAGTCAGTTGTTCCCTTTCTGAATGGGATTAGTGGAGTGAGCTAGGCCTGGGTCATAACACATGGCTGAGACCCAATAGGCTATCCGAAATCTATTCCATACAGCAGTGGCGAACACTAACACAGTGAAGCATCAGAAGTTTGACTGCCCCAGAGGGGAGGCGGCACACAGTAATACAGTGCAGGACTCAGCAGCTTGACTGATCTGGAGAGGAGGGGCCAGCATAAGCTGTCCATGTTTGCAACTCACTAGCACACTGCAGTGGGAAGGGTCAACTAGCCAGCGTGCTTCAGAAGAATTGAAACCAGTAAAAAAAAGAAACTGGGACCTCCTGGAAGAAACAAAAAAAAAAATAGAACGAGGAAGCAACAACAAATGTCCGCAGGCCCCAACCCTAAGAACATTGACCCAGGACAGGTAAATACAAAGGAGAATGAAAACAGCAAACATGCAATATCACGGCACCAGTGGGCATAAAGAGATATCTTCGGTACCTCATAGATGAGTTCAAAAGTGAAACATTTAGCCAAGTAAAGCAAGATATAAGAAGATTAATAAAAGAGATGCTAAGCACCCCTCAAACAGACACAGACTGAAGAAGGGAGGAGCTCAAAGGAGAGAAACATTTGATGAAGAATATAAAGAAAATATAGAATATATGAAGCAGATTCAAAAAGATAGCAGAAAATTAAAAACATTATGGAAAGATGGCAAATCTGCTTGAAAGAAACTAAGGATACATTACACAAACTGGAGGGGAGTTTTTCAATGTGGGATTATGAAAGCAAAAACTTTTTAAAAATAACAAGGAAACGAGCAGTAACGATATAAGGGCTAGAAGATGACAAGAGGATCTATAACTTGAGAATAAAGAATGTAAATGAAGAAGCAGGGGTACAAACAAACTCCAAAGGCTATTCAAAGAAATAATTAAGGAAAACTTCCCAAACGTAGGAAAAGGAAATGATATGCAGATGTATGTGGCATACAGAACTCCAGCCACCTACAACCAAAACAGAGATATACCCAGACATACAATAATCAAGATCCCAGAAATTCAATATAAGAAGAGAATATTAAAAGCTTTTAGAGACAAGAAACAGATAACCTATAAAGGAAGGCCTATCAGAATAATGGCAGACTTCTCAACACAAACCATGAAGTCAAGAAGAGCTTGAAGCAAAATATTCCAAGCCCTAAAAGAAAATAACCTCCAACCCAGATTGATATACCCGCTAAACTGTGTCTAGAAATTAATGGAGAAACAAGATGCTTCCAAGACAAAAAGAAACTTAGGAAATTCACAACCTCCAATCCAACTCTGAGAATATTGTAAGACATTCTAGAGAGACAGAAAAGTACTAGGATTCCAGAAACAGTGGCAGAGAGGCCTCAATGAATGGAGCAGAAAACAGAATGAAGAAGATAAGCAAACAACTGATGGCAAAAAAAGAGCATAGCAGAAATGAGGCAGAGAAGATTGGTTATAATCTCTAATATAGATGGCCTTGATACACTACATTTAAAAAAAAAGAACCACATGTGGAGTAGCTCAGGAAGCAGGGTCCACTGAGATGCTATTTATAGGAAATATAATTAACGTGAAAAAGAGTACATAGACTGAAAATCAAATATGAGAATACAATGCTCTATGTGACAAAGAACCAGAGAGTAATAGGGGCAACTAGACAAGTATTTGTGGATAGGTTGGAAAGACAGGCTTTAATAGGTAAAGGAATACAATTAGAGATCAAGGCCAGGAGACAGAAAGTTTGGAAACACTTAAATAGCAGGTTACCCCCCCCAATTTAAAACCCAGGGTCTTAGTCAGACCCAAAAATGCACAATGTACCCTGGGGAAGTGAAAAGGGAGGGAGAGTCGTAAAAAAGATGGCAGAGGATATTGTTAATAGTGTATCAGGATTTAAAATCCACATTACTCACACCACTCTGCTTAGATTGATTTTATTCTTTTTTTTTTTTTGATAGATTTTGTTCTGTACCAGTTTGTCTACTTGCATTAGAGTTCAGGGCAGAGACAGCTATCCCAAAAACATCAAGCTATAACACAGTAATCATCTTTAATTTCCTATTATCTTAATCTGAGCCCTGTATGACTTATACTGTTTTATCATGATTGATCTTAGTTAAATCTGGTTTGTTTGATGGCTGTTTGGTATTGACTAATTTTATTCAAAACTGATATGATTGATAGTATCAAGTCTAAGAGTATAGGCAACTACATTGAAGATGACAAGACTCTACAATACACATTCTGGTTTGATTGCTGCCTGTTTTGAAAATTTTATACTATATACAAAGTTGTGTTTTTATTAATACTGTTATGTACTGATTTATTCAATTGTACTGTGTCTGATGATATAGCCAATTCCATTGAGGATAACAAGAGACAACACAGGAACTATGGTAGAACTCCTTGTACAACGGTCTTATATGTTTATTTCGTTTCATGTGTTTATAGGAAATGTTTTGTTTTGCCTTGCTTTGTTTTGTTTCTCCCTCTAATATAGAAAGGATAGAAATACATGTTAAGACTCATGCATGTGTAGAATCTATAAACAGTTTATGAGAACTGATCTTATGACACATGATGAAATCAACAGATATTTTGAAGAAAAAGAGACACTAAAGTACCCAGTGCTGATCCTGGAGTGTCATAATGTGACACCCAGCAATAGTATTATTCTTTGTTCAGAGTGATATTAGCCTGCTTGTGTTTGTTCAATCTGAACCTAATTGAAGGTATGGATAACTGCATGTATGTTTAAGTATATAAGATTGATAACCATATTTCTAAGTTTTTTTTTTTTTTGGGTAGTTGAACAGAACTGGTTGCAGTCTCACTGTTTGAATCCCCACTTTATATGCTCCATAGTATCTTGAATAACTATTTGTAAGAGGACAATGTGTAATCATCAACTGGTGATTTCCTACTGTTTATTTTTTTTCTTTAAAAGTATGTATTATTTCTACCCATTTTCTGTCTTGTTTAGTCTTTCTTTAAATTAAATTTTTAAAAAAGACACTACAATACCCAGTGCTGATCCCAGACTGTCATGATGTGAAATCCAGAAGTACTACTATTCTTTGTTCAGAATGACTTTATCCTGCTTTGGTTTGTTTAATCTCAACATAAATGAAGATATGGATAACTGTATGTATGTTTAAGTGTATAGAATTGACAACCATGTTACTAACTTTTTGTTGGACAGTTGAACAGAACTGTTTGCAGTCTCGCTGTTTGAATTCCCACTTTATATGTTCCACTTTTGTATCTTGAACAACTATTTGTAAAAGGATAGTATGTAAACATTAAATAGTGATTTCTTACTGTTTATTTTTTCTCTGAACATATGTATTATTTCTACCCATTTTCTGTTTTGTTTAGTCTTTCTTTAAATAAAATTTTAAAAAATTAAAAAAAGAATCAACAAATGGGATTATATCAATTTAAAACACTTCTGCCTAGGAAGTGAAACAACTAAGAGAATGAAGAAACAGCGTGGGGAAACATTGCCAACTATTCCTCAAAGAACTAATATTTAGTATATATAAAGAACTCAAAACATATATACATGCACACACAAACTAAAAAACTTTAGACTCCCAAAATGAAAGAGTGGATCAAAAAATGTGCAACTAAAATAGATACTTCTCAGAATGGCCAAAAATATCCAACATCAAACATGAAAAATGTTCAGTATCATTGGCCATTAGAGAAATGAAAATTAAAACAACACTGAGATTCCAGAAAGAATGACTATAACTTAGAAGGCAAAGAATAAGAAATGCTAGAGAGGCTGTTGGGGGGAAAGGAACCCTCTTTATTTTTCATGAGTATAAAGTAGTACACTCTAGCACAAGCACCTGCTTGGTAAGCACAATTTTCAATCCCCAGTACCAAAAAAATTTAAATTTAAATTTAAAAAATAAAGTAGTGCACTAACTGTGGAAATCAATATGAGATTTATCAAAAAAACTAAAAGTAGCAATTTCATTCAACCCAGCTATTCTCTTTCTAGATATTTTCCCCAGAGTTAAAGACATAATATTATAGTGATACATGTATACTCATGTTTATAGCAACACAATTCATAATAGCTAAATCTTGGAAGCAGCTTTTATGTCCATCAATAGATGACACGATTTTTTTGCGGATGTTTGACACCGGGTCTCACTATGCAGTCCAGCCTGGCCTTGAATTCACTATGTATCCCAGGATGATCTTGAGCTCCCAGAGATCCTCCTGCTTTAGCCTCCCGAGTACTGGGATTACAGGCATCTTCCAGCAACTAACAGATGAATGGATAAAGAAAATTTATTTATGCACAATGGAATACTATTTTGTTATAAAGGATAAACTTGAGTCTTTTATAGGAAAACAAATGCATCTTTGAGACCAATGTTAAGTGAAATAAATCAGATGATAAACTTATATATCACATGGTTTCTCTTACATGAGAAACCTACAAACTATAAAAAAGAGCACAATAAAAGACAGATAACAGATGGATATTTAGCATATGGAAGGGGAACCAAGAGACAGAGAGAGGAAAGAGGAAGGGGAAGAAAATGAGATTAAAAATAAGGGAAATATGATGTGTCACATACATGTAACAAGTCCCTGTGAGGAACATGATCATTACATATTACCCACATGTACAAAAATATAGGAGATGATAAAAAAAGAATTGTTAAGATATGTCATGTACATATAGTGACTCCCAAAGCTGAATATAATCATTATATACTATAAATGTATACTAATAAAAAAGAAACAAAAAATAATAAAATATCAGAAGCCAGAGTTATGATTCTACATCTTTATTCTTTCCCTTCAGCACAAGAGTCATCCCAACAAATGGCCTCAGCCAACAGGTGGCAGACAGGACTGGGCTGGGCAGGGACCCCCAAGGACCTGACCTCACCTCCCCCTCCTCCCATGGACTAGGGAATAGGACTCTGATCCAAGCTCAGCATCCCTGGGGAGGAGGAAATCATGCCATTCTTCAGCTTCTGCTGCACCCCACTTTGACAGCCATACCTTGGGGGCCAACCACGTCCACACTCCGTGCTGGAGGGACCCTGGAGAGTGGCCCCAAGTCCCTCCACATATGTACACACATGCGCATGGGGCCCAAAGACCAGGTCAGTGTTCAGCCATGTGGCTCTATCCTGTGGCCCAGGTGGCAAACATAAAGCCCAGACTAATGGCCATGAAGAGGACCCCCAGGATGCTAAAACACAGGGCCTGTGAAGGGAAGTAAGGGACGAGGGAAGAGGGATGGAAGACACAGCTGGCTGGGACACCTCATCCAGGCTCCTGTGAGGACACTCCATTCCTGACCCTCCTCTTTGATGATTCCTCTTCTTCCTTTCTTCTTTCCTTCCTTTGTCTCTCTCTTTCTATTTTTATTTTATTTTTTTGGAAACAGGATTGTAATCAATAGGTAACCCAGGCTGGTCTCCAACTGTGATCGTCCTGTCTCAACCTCCGGAGTGCTGGCATTACAAGTGTAAACCACCATACCCAGTGCTTTCTCCTTTTTTAAATCCAGCCCCTTCCTGTGAGCACCTCTTCTACCTTTCTTAGAGCCAGGCCCTTCCTATGAGTCTTCTCCATCCTTCTTCAAAGTATTCTTGCCTGTCTTCCCAACACTGCTCCCTCCATGTGGAGAACTCTCCCTCTATTCTAGCACCTTTTTTGAGGTACTAGTCATGGAACTCAGCCTCTTGCATCCACTGAACCATATCCCATCTGGCCAAGCCTTTTTAGAGCACATCCTCTGCTCCCCCAAGCCCTGCTGATGCTATGTGCTTAGTAATTTTCAAAGACAGTCACCTCCATTCTCTCACACCATTTGCCCCTCTTTCTGGATGCTCCCTCTCCCCAGGCCCCTCCTGAACTCAGCCTTGGCTCTCAGGCCACCTGACAACCAGAACTCTCTTGGAGTGTTGCCTGTTTCCCCACCCTCCCTGGGGAGCTCACCTGGATCTTAGGCCATGAGCAGAGGGCCTCTGCCTCAGAGGGTACAATGCAGAGGTAGAAGATGCCTGGAATGATATAGATGAGGCAGGAGTCAGAGGTGGACCCTGGAATACAAGGAAGGAAGAACAGGAATCCATCTAAGTTTGGATGTAAGTCCTTTATTAGGTAGAGTAGAGGTAGGAGTTAAATATACTGACCAATAACCCCAAAGATATCCTGGATGTTCTGCACATAGATGACAAGGACATTGACCAACACCAGCAGGCACAGGGCTATGACCACATGCTGTGGCCAGCTGAAGGCCTTGCTGGGGAAGAGCAGTTGGTGCGTGGCCCAGCAAATCTGTGGCCAGAGAAGGGCAGGACAATGTCAGAGCCATCCTCATCCATGTGACTGTGTCTTTAACCCCAGCCTCTGTCTGAAATTCATGATTCTTCCTCCCACTATCTATGGCTCCATCCTCTGACAACTCACATCTCTTTCTTTTGTGTGATCATCTATTTGTGCTCACACCACCACTGTCAAAAATCCTTGTAGCCTCTCTCTGCCCATCTCTATGTCTGGCTCCCTCTATGTCTCACCATCACCTGCCTGAAACCCCTGCCTCTCCCTCCATTTGACTACCTTTCCCTCCCTCCCACGGCAAATCATTCCTATCTCCCCTTCTGGGAGCCTCATCCTTTTTTCATCTGACCACTTCTGCTTCCAGATGCCCTCACTTCAGTTACCTTTGTGTAACTTCTTTTTGGACCAGGGATCAAACTCATGACCTCACACTCGCCAGGCAGGTACTTATGCCATTGAGCTAAATCCCCAGCCCTATCCTTTGAGTAACTTTTTCTGTCCCTCTTTCTTCTTCATTATGACCATCTGTCTATGTTTCCCCCTTACTCAGCATTCCAACCTCTCTTCTGCCCACTCAAACGTGCCTCTCCCTCCAACCAACACCCCAACCTGTCCCCTGACTCTCCTCTCTGTCTTGCCACCCACAGCCCCCTTCTGTCTGACCACCTAGTTTTACCTTCCCTGCCTGGTTCTCTGCCTGTCCTCTCTGTCCATCTGTGCCTCCCCCATCTGTCCCTCTGTTCCTCTGCCCTCGCTCCATCTAAACACCCACACCCATGCTCCCTGACCCTCTGATCCCATCACTCTGCTCCCTGGGCCCCACTCTGCCCCCACGCACAGGGAATAGCACAACAGGCACAGTGAGTGTCACCACAAGTAGCACCACAAGGTGCACATGGAGGATAAGCAGGTCTTTCTGGCTATACATGTACAGCATCTCCTCATGCTGCCTGGGCCATGCGACAGAGGACACAGAATGCAGAAGGTGACAAGAAAACCAGAGCCAGTGGCTCAGAAATCCACACCCACATCTGAAGTGACAAAAATCTATGCATGTGAAGTACCCTCCTTTTACAAACAGGCAGATTCCAGATGACCAGGGGAAAATCCCAGAGGCTCCCATCACAGCCTCCCTGCCCCCACAGCCCCAGCCACACTCACTGTAGGTGATGTATCTAAAAGTTGCTGTGAGCCCATACATGCAGAATATGGCCCCAGTATAAACACTGGCCAAGGCCTGCATCCTGCACTGGGAAGGCCTGAGGAGTATAGGCCACAGAACTGCCATGCTTGGTCCCCTGGATTTGGCCTAGTACCCTCAAAATCAGCCCCCGCTACAAGTCCCATCCTCTCACATTAACATTCAGCGGGGGAATACTGCTGTCCTGTCTCTTGATCTCCTGTGTAACTAGCCAAGTTTCCCAGGTCTGTATGACCATGACTCACCCCATATGAGCATCTCTAGCTCTCCAATCTGACCATTCATGCCATCTCTCTGTGTGATCTCCTGCACTTCCCTCCATCTCATCAGCCCTTACCCTCCCCCTTGTCCATGGACCACCCATATCCTTAGCTCCATCCATGCATACCCACACTCTTCCACCAATCAAGTGATCCCTGCCTGACCATTCACATTTGTTCTGAAATTTCAAACAGTAGATATCTCTGACCCCAGTCCATAAATAGTAACTACCTTGAGTACCATGCTTCTCAAATCTGTCCCTTGACACTGCCTACCTCCATCAAGTTACAGCCTCAAGGCTGCTGCAGTGATTGGCGGACCTTACACCTATTGCCCCTCTCCCCAACAGGCTGTCACACCTGCCCACCCACTCCCTGGCTCAACTCTATGTAGTAGGGCAACACCTCAGGGTGACAGATAAAGGTATAAGCCATAATGGGTACTGTGTAGGTCATCTGGGGGAATGCTCCAAGCATGTGGGATTAGAGCCCACAAAGGACTTGGGGATCTTCCTCTGCCTCTCCTGGCCCCATTATTGGCCTTTACATTGTGGACTCTAAGGTCTGCTGAGTCCCTCCCCACTAACAGGCTAGAACGTGGACAGAAACAGGGGTCTCTGTGTAGCATGTTCTTGTGCACCTACACACCCACACACTTACCTGTGAGTCAACTGTGAACATTTGGGCCTCAAAGGTGTTGTTGAGCCCGAGGCTGGGGAGGTCTGAGGATACAGTCTCATTGCAGTTTAGACCACAGAAAATCTGGAACTTCCTAATACATGACCTGGGAGTGAGGCAGCAGAAAGGCAAGGTCACCAAGGAGACTACGTCACAGTGTCCCAACCACCCCCCAACTTCTCTTTCTTACTGAAATGAGGAAAAACAGCATTCAGATCAGAGAGAGGCTGTTGGTATACCAAATAGCCTACAGGGGGCAATACACAAAGCTTCAGAAGTCAAGGAGCCCCGACAACAAACTCTGAGGCCCTAATCTGGCCTTCAACATCTCCTCACTTCAGTTACCTTTGCATAAGCTTTTACTTCCACTTGGACTTGCTGTACACTAGCAAAAAGAGCTTCGTTATGTTTGTATTATGCCAAAGTACCTGTAACCTGTAATGCTGCCTACTGTTCTGTATGTGTTTTTTCCCTCTGTGTGACCTAATTGATATGTTAATCAGTGCTCCCCTCTGTAAAGAATTGTAAATCCCTGGAGAACCTAACCTAATTGATATGTTAACCATTATTGCCCTCTACAAATAACGGATGTGGTGCTAAAATAAGTTGACAAAGGATTGTTAATGACTGCTAGACTACTCTGTCCTCTGCTAAGGAAAACATTTCCTTAGCAGATCTCCTGATCTACACCCATAACCCCTTACTTTGTAAACTGTGATATCTACAAAAGGCTGCAAGTTTAGAGGAGCAACACACAGCTTTTGCAAACTCCAACTGCACTGTCACTGGGCCCAGGATAAAATAAATCAGCACTGCTTTTTTAAAAATATGTTTTGACCCATTTTTGGACTCGAGGTTGGGGACTCGGGGGGGGGCTCATTTGTGGATTACAAGAGGACCCACTTTCCTTCCTTAAAGAACTCCTGCTTCTGGAAGAACATGGCGGACAGATAGCAGCAGCTACAGAGGCTCTCTGAAAAACCCAGCTTAGAATCCAGGAATGGTGCAGAATAAGGAATCATAAGCAAGAGGAGATATGCCCTGCTGACCCAAGAACGAACTGAGCTGAGAGAAACCAACTGGGAATGCAATCCTGGTGCTATCACAGGAACAGAAAAGCCTCAGTGTAGAAGCTGGAGCCCACGCCATTGGAAGCCGCAATTGGGGTTTCCCGCCGCCGTCTACATCGGCTCGGCAGGGAGAGAGACGCATGAAAGCTGAGAATGGGAATCGGTAAACAGAGTTGAAAGCAGGATGGGTGGGGACCTGCAGTGAATGAGAGAAACTGGGACTCTTCCACGGTCTAGGAGACTCCAACAGAGGACATTCTGGGACCGGGCAGACTTGCGGGAACAGGGCACTGCAGTGACTTCAGTCATGTATCCCCTCTCAAGCGGGACTGGTGAGCAGTGCCTAGCCTACGTGACGCTGCTGGCTGAGACCCAGTAGCTAGCACAACCCAGGTCCCAGCGCCTGAAGGTAAATTGACCTGGAGGGGCGGGCCCCGCATAGGCTGCCTGGTCTGCAACTTCCTGGTGTGCTTCGGTGGGTGGGAACACCTAGCTGGCGCAATTCAATTAGACTGTGGCTGACAGGGAAGGAAGCTGGGCCTCCTATATACGCTTGCATATATAAGGAACAAAGAATATGGGAAGAGGGAGCAACAAGAAAGGGTCCTCGGCCCCCAATCCTGAGAAAGAGGCAATAGCAGACACAGCACCAATAGATATAAAGGCTATCTCCAGAGCCTCATAGACGAGTTCAGGAATGAAGTTATTAATGACCTGAAGTTAGACATAAGCAGAATAGTTAGAGAAATGCTAAGCACCACCCAAGAAAAAACAGATGGTGGAATGGAAGAACAGAAAAAGAGGGGAGAATTGTTTGATGGAGAAAATAGAGAAGGCCTAGAATACATGAAGCAGGTTCAAAGAGATTACCAGGAAACTAAAAACTCTATCAAAAACTGGCATAACAGCTTGAAAGAAACTAAGGACAGATTATCTGAACTGGAGGGCAGATTTGTAATATGGGAGAATGAAATGAAAAACTTCTTAAAAATAACAAAGAAACAAACAACAATAATACCAAGACTAGAAGATGATAAGAGGATCTATAACTTGAGAATTAGGAACATAAAATACAAGTTGCATTTTAGAACATAAAAGAAGAAGTAGGGACACAAACAAATGAACTACAAAAGCTACTCACAGAAATAATCCAGGAGAATTTTCTTAATTTAGCAAAAGGTAAAGATACTCACTTGTATGAAACATACAGGACCCCAGCCACCTACAACCCAAACAGAGCCACACCCAGGCATATAATAATTAAAATTCCAGAAATCCAATACAAGAACAGAACATTAAAAGCCATCAGAGACAAGAAACAGATCACTTACAAGGGAACACCCATCAGAATTACAGCAGACTTCTCGGCACAAACCATCAAATCACAAAGAGCGTGAGGGGAAATAATTCAAGCTTTGAAAGATAATAATCTCCAGCCAAGATTGATATATCCTGCACAACTATCTCTGGAAATTGATGGAAAAACAAGGTGCTTCCAGGATAAAGAGGAACTAGGGGGATATGCAACCACCAATTCAACTCTACAGAGAATACTGCAGGATATTCTAAAAAAGAAAAATACGAAGAATCCTGAAATCGTGGCAGAGAGGCCACAATGAATGGAGCAGAAAACAAAATGAAGAAGACAAACTGACAACTAATGACAGAAAAAGAGCTCAACAGAAATGAAGCAGAGAAGATTGGATGATAGGAACAGCTATTTTGGAGAAAATGACATCTTAATAGGTAATACTGATTTAGTATCATCTTGTTTTGAAGTCTCATCAAGCTTTTGTTCTTCTGTCTCCATAGGTCTAAACAGGTTGTATCTTATTGGATTTTATTATATATGATAGTATAAGCAAAAACTTTTATAGACAAGGAGATTATACAGAAACCATTGTTCATTTTCTGTTAGCTGATTCTAAATACCCTGTAATACTGTCATTCTCTTAAATGGTTTTACATTGTTTTGATATATTTGATGCTACAGTATACGAAGTTATACTCAAAGATTTCAAGGAAAGAGACAATATGGTAACTACTTTTATGTTGGGATTATCTTGTGGCGAAACACTATTTTGCTTAAATGGTTATGTTTTGATCTGCACTGTTTTGCTGTTATGCCCTCTTTTATCTCAATCTCCATTTTATTATTTACTTTTTTATTTTTATCCTTTTAATTAAGGGAAAAATAAATTTAAAAATAGCAGGATATATTATAGTAACCCACTTTGACTTTCCATTATCTTGATTTAAAGCCCTGTATTGCTCTCACCATCTTGCTTTGACTGATGTTCCTCTATTCTGTTTTGCTTGATAGCACCAGGTTCGAAAGTTTAGGCAACAGCTGTGAAGATAGTGGAATTCATTATGACGCCCATTCTGGTTGACTATTATCTACTCTTGAAGACCTGTAATGTCTCCAATGTTTTGGTTTTGCCAGTTTTGTTCTTTACTGTTTTGTTCAATTTTATTATAACTGATGATATAGGCAATTCTATTAGGGATAGCGGGAGGCATTATGGTAACCATTATTGATCACCTTGTATTATGCTTTTACATTATCTATTATGTCCACCCTTTTGATTTGACTGACTCTGTTCTGTTATGTCACATTTGGTTCTACTGTCTTCCAAAAAAGTAATAAGAACTGTGGGAGCAACAAAACCCAAAATGTGTAATTGTCATTGTACAAAAGAGAGGAAAATAAAGTGCTCTAAACGATATAACTGCATGTATATTTAAGTGTGTAAGATAGACAATGATATTACTGAGTTTTGTTGGATCATTGAACAGAACTGTTTGGTCTCACTGTTTGAATGTCCACTATATAAGCTTTAATTTTGTGACTTGAACAATTATTTCTAAGATGACAATATGTAATCCATTAACTAGTGATTTCCTACTGTTTATTTTTTTCTGTAAATCTGTATAACTTGTACCCTTTCTCTGCTTTTTTTCTTTTTCTCCTTAAATAAAATTTTAAAAAACGAACTCCTACAAATCTGTGAAAACCCACATCATATAAGCTCCTATATGGTGTTTCACAGTCTTTGAAAACTGGAATTTTTTTCCTCTGGTTCCTACTCTGTAACCCCACTTCTCAATGACCAACAAGGACACAGTTACCTAAGTGTTTCATGAGAGCCAGGGGCCGGATGATTAACACACTGACAATTATGATCAGGTGGTCTCCTTTCAAAACCCAGTCCCTAGGGAGACTGGAAGACACATAACTAGCCACTGGCCAAAGAACAGCATGAGACTGATATGCAAGGAAGACAGTCAGCCAGATTTCTGCTCCCCATGGAGGGAGGTGGGAAGACACCCCAAGCTTTCAAGTTATTCGAGTCATTACAATCACAAATGATACAACAGGGTCGATAAAAACAGACTGATTTATGAGAACATTGGACTCCATTTAGAAACACAAGCACAGCAAGAAAAAAATACTCACCATCAGATTTGCAAACAGACACACAATCAGGCCAAAGATCCCAAATCAGTCAGATCAGATGCAAAAATCATCCCAATACAAGGTGCCAAACACAGACAGTGGGTGATGATCCTGGTGTGTGCACCACGTGGAATATCAGTCTAACAGCAATCACACCATGATGTAGTCAAAACAGCAGAAACACACATGCACTCTTTTGAACAGCTCAAGGTCTGTTGATGCCTGCAAGTGGCTGAGCTGATTTGGCCACACAGTCAAAGAAGAACTGACATAGAAACAGAGCCAGCCAGCTAGCCTCACTGTTGGAACCAAGCTCCAGGAAAGGGCATCTCCAGCTGGATACAGTGGCACATTCCTGTAATCTTAGCACTCTGAAAACTGAGGCAAGAGGTCATGAGTGCAAAGCTATGTCTCCTAGGGATACATAGCAAGTTTCAGGACAGTCTGGACTACATAGTGACCTTCTGCCTCAAAAAAAAAGAAGTAAACAAACAACAGAGCCTTCACAGATCCTGGAGGGAGATGCCCAAGCAAGATACATTGGTTGGATAGATGTTTCTTCATTCAAAATAACTTTTGTTTTTCAGCATTGAGGATCGAACCCAAGGCCTTTGCATTGAGCTACCTTCTAAGCCTTTTTTATTTCCTATTTTGAGACAAAGTCTTATTAAGACTTGCAATCCTCTTGGCTCAGCCTCTCAGAGTGCTGGGGTTATAGGAGTGTTTCACTACATTCAGCTCATTTAAAAGAACTTTATTCAGTGCCCTCTATGTTACAAGCATTCACATGTTCTCTATCTCATACACCACTAGACAGAAATATACCAACAAAGTGCCATTGACCATAATTATAGTTAATTATCATAATTATACAGAACTGGGGCACAGATATCACCCAGTGGTACAGCACTAGCCTAGTATGCACAGCACTGAACACACAAAAGGAATTATATGTATCTAGTCATGTCTAGATGTTGTCAGAATCAAACCAACTAGCTAACAGGATACACATAGATAATAAAAAGCAAAGCCAGGCATAGTGGCACAAACCTGTAATCCTAGCACTATGGGAAGCTGAGACGGGAGGATCAACAGTTTGAGCTCAGCCTGGGCAACTTAGTGAGAGATTGTTTAAATTTTTTTAAATTTTAAAAGGGAATATAACTCAGCACAAAGGCTCTGGATTCCATTCCCAGTGCCACTAAATGTAAATAAATAAATACAAGCTCTCAGTTTAACCTAATAGACACATGGGCAGCTATCCCAGAGTCAGACCGACAAAACCAGTTATGCACATACAGACCAAGCAAAGTGTGGGACCAGTGTCAGAGTCAGAGGTGGGAATCAAAAACATGCAAAGGGGAGGACCTGGAGATATAGTTCAGTGGTAAAGCACCTGCCTGGCCTAGAAGGGATCCCTGGGTTCTTTGATTCCTAGCCCCACAGGAAAAAAAATCCCACACAGCTACATGTGGTGGGACACACAATCCCAACTGCTTGGGAGGCTAAAGTTAGCAGATCACAAGTTTAAAGACAGCCTGGGTGCAACTTAGGGAGACTGTCTCAAAAAATAATGCTAAGGATGGTAGTGCACGTCTGTAATCCTAGCACTTGGGAAGCTGAGGCACGAGAATCACTGCAAGTTCAAGACCAGCGTGGGCTACAAAGTAAGCTCAAGGTCAACCTAAACCATATAGTGAGACCCTGTCTCAAAAAGACAAAAAGAAAAAAGCCCGCTATATACAAATGGAATCCCATTGTACACAAATTGCAGCCACATTACAAAGGACATATACAGGCATAGTCAGGGATCACATGTACACAGAACAAATAGCCACCAAATCAAACACAAACGGAGCTAACTGGATGTAGAGCAAGTCACAGGCCCAGCTGGCACTGTAGTATGACAAGTGCACCCCAGCAGCACTGGAGTCAGAGATGGTATATTTGGAGCTAGACAGAATCCAGCAGCCTGCTGGACCCAGAATCTGACTTCCCAAATCAGCTGGACAGGGATAGTCAGAGTAGCCAAGTGTCAGACACATACGGTAGCAATCACAGGACGCATCTGTTGCCAATCATACATCTGGCCAAAGAGAAGCAGCCAGTACAACAGTCACTGAATCCAACCCAAAGTGTACATCTACTAGCTATGTATAGGTTACACTCATATGGCCAGGCCAGTACCAGTGCACAGTGAACATAAAGTCAGCTGCCAGCCAGAACAATCACAAAATCAGCATGTGGTCTGTTGGATGCCTCGTGTCAGCAACAGATACACTCTTGGTATCACAATATACACACGTCTGTCTGACACAACTGGCCCACTCAAAAGTCTCAAACTAGAACACTTGGGAGGCAGGCAGATACACAGTTGGAGGTGACAGTGGCCCCTGAGGAGAGAGTCAAGGGCCTAAAGAACAGCCATTCACTCACCTCTTGGGTTCTTTGCAGGTGCCGATAACCGGAGGAAGTTCAGATCTGATGATGAACGGGTAACTGAACATGGCTGGTACAGGTTGGGGAAAGTGTAAGCAGAAGGGATCCTCTCAGGCTCCTTCCCTGTCTGCTCCAGCCCAGCCTCGGGAAGCCTACCTCATCCTGCCCTTACCCCTAGTTGACTCCAACTCCTAAAAGCCTCGCCCCCAACACTGTACAGACAGATGACAGTGGCCACTACCACCGGCTTCCCCATAGGCCTGAATGCCCTCTGTCCCAGCTGCTCATAGGGTCAGATGCCTGAGGGTAAGCAGAAGGAATGGGTGCAGGCTGGCAGGGATGGAGGACCTGGAGGGGATTGGCTCTGATCCGTGGAAGCTAGAGGTGAGAGTTAAGTAGTTAGGGTTGAACTGGGGGGGGCGGGTCAAGTCTGGGAGGTTACAGCTGAGACCAGGAAGGGTTTAGGGGTTGGGAATGGGGCTTGACTTGAGACTTGGGGTCTAAGTTCAGGAATTGGTTCTGGGAGTCTACAGGAGATGGGTTGAACACTGGGATTTGAGCTCTAGGTCTCACCTACACCAGTGCAGGTCAGCAGGAGGTGGATGTATGCAAGAAGACAGCAGTGCAGTGCACAGCAGCAAGGACCTGTGAGAAAGGTGCCGTTCAGTCTTGGCCGCAGCCCTCTCCCTTGCCTCACCATATCCCGAGCCCACAGGGCCACCTATAGACTCACAAGAAGAAGAGGACTCCTGTGTGGGTCATGGCATTTGCCAGCCCCAGGATGCCACTGCCCATGATGGCATTGCCGAGGTTGAACACCGGCATTCCAAAGGATGTCTTCCCCTAGAACCACAGTCAAGGAGCCAAATTCAAGCACACATGGAGAAGGAGGAAACAGGTAAGGAGACTAGTGCTGGGTCCAGGGAAAGACTGGGTGGGGTTTAGGGCAAATAGGGCAGGGAGTAGCCCAAGGTCTATGGGAGGAAGGAGGAAGCTGGATGGGAAAAAAAGTTAAAGATGAGAAGAAAGTAGAAAAGGGAGAACTGGAAAAAGGAAAACCAGGAAAAATTGCAGAGAGCAGCTGAAAGTGTAGAGGAACAGAATGGAGGGAGTATCTGGCCCACTGCTGACCAACTGAGGGCCACTAAAGGAGGGCTGGGGCCATGAAGCAGGAGTGGAGGGGGAGCTAGAGAGGCAGTAGGGCATCATCCAGGAGAGAAGAGCAGGGGAATAGTTAGGGAAGGAGATGGACCAGCTGGAGTACTTAAGAGGGAGCAATAAGAGAGGAGGTTAGCTAGAGATCCTGTGAACTCACATCTATGACCCGGACAGGCTTCCTCCAGGAGCTGGACCATGGCTGGGCAGGAAGCCCTTGCATTCCTGCCTGTAGCTAGACAGGCCAAGGATAGGCTGATGAAGTGACCCTCCCCTTCCCCCCCTATTCAGTCTCTTTGAAACCCCCAACTTACTCCTCAGCACCTGCAGGGAGGGCTCTGTTCATTTTTGGATCTTGTATTTCCATTCTGTGGGCAAAGAAATGGGGTAGGAGGATCAGAGATGGGGAACTACAATGTCAAGAGAACTGGACAAAAAGGGATCACAAGCAGACAGATAAAAAAGCAGAAAACAAGTGAGTCAAACAGGAACAGGGACAGATAGGAGGGTCAAGGGGATAAACAGAAGGAGACAAGTGTGAGAGAGATAGGCAACACTAGACTCAGTGGAGAAATGCTAACAATAGCTCAGAGAAACACAGAGAAAAGAAGGCAGCAAGAGATAGAGGGGAAAAAAGAGATAAATAGAGGGAGAGAGGGAGAGTGCAAAATACAGGGGAGACCAGCCTCACAGCAGATGAGATGGCCATTCAGAGCAAGATCTGCTCTTCTTCCAGATTCCAGCCTTTCTCCCTAGCCGTGGTCTTTTTCCTTCCCAGTCCTGGCTCTCGCATGCCCCTCCCCTCCTCGCTTACCCAGCGGCTTACTCCTAACAGGGACAAGTGTCACCCCCTGCCTCACCCCTCCGACTGCCCCTCCCACCTCTACTCTTCCTCACCTGGACTCAGGAACCAGTGCTAGTGCAACTTGTAGGAAGGTGGGGAGAGGGGAGAAGCTCCGCGACCCCAATCCCTGATGCTGCAGACTGCTTTTGGGTTGCTTTCTGAATATCCTCACTAGAGGCCAAAGATAACCAATGCCCCTCTTCCAGAGACAGAAATGACCTTGGGAAGCTGGGGCTGTCACTAGGTGATGCAGCACTTGTCTAGTATGCATGAGGTCCTGAGTTTGTTTCCTAGTACAGCCAAAAAAGAAACTGACCTTGGGACCTCCCATTTAATGCCTCTTCCAGGCCCTAGAGGTATTTTCTGGGGACCCCCCCAAGTTTTAAACACTTTTGTAGCTAGATGAAATGGGGCACATGCCAGTAAATCCAGCACTTGGACTGAAGCCAGCTGACCTACATAGCAAGACCCTTTTCAAAAAAAGAAAATTCTAGCACAACACTTCTGGAAACTGGTATGGTGTTTCAGGTACCTGATGGAATGTGACCTAGGCTTTTCACTCTGGAAAAAGGGTTGTCTCTGTGTGCAGGTGCTCCTTCCCAGGGCTCATGGTGCTTCCTGCATGGAGATGTCTCTGTGACCCCCATCCCAACCAGGATTGTCTGTCTACAGGATGGAGAGTCTAGAAGAAATCTTCAGCCCAAGGCTCACTCTCAGAGAACAAGGTAAATGAGAACCATCATTCAAGGCCCCATGGAGCTAAAACTAGTCCGGGAAATTCCTCAAATCATGAATCTCTCCCTTCTGGCATGGGGAGAGATCGCAAGTAGCTCCCTCCTGAGCCATGAGCACCCTCTGTGAACTTCCACCATTGCTGATTTACTTCCCCTGATCAAGCTACCAAAAGGACATCTTTCCTCCATTTGATTTCTTGCTCAGGACACAAATGTCTCCAGAGAAACTCCTGAACCCCCTTCTGAGAACCTCATATCTCAGTGTCTGCAAGGCCACCATCCCACGACTTGTGGCCTGTCCACTGCCCCCTCCTCACCTCCTTGCTGCTCTCAGCTCCAAAAGAGGTAGCAATCCAACTTGGACTCAGGGACGCCAAAGCCTGTTCAGCTCCACCTCTAGCTAGGTTTTGCCCCACCCTCTCCTGCCTTCAGCCAATCCACTCCATCTGCACCTGTTTCACAGCTAATCAGGGTTGCTCGCACGCACAGCCCCCAGCCAGTTTTCTAAGAAGAGCTAATTTTAATTGACTTTTCTGTCTTTTGGCCCTAGGTAGGGAACTGGGTGGAGGGGCATCCATATCTGGACTCACTTGTAAGAAGTTAGTGTTTGTATTGATAGTGGGGAGACAGGCTGAAAGATTGAAGGAGTAGGCTGAGTGTGGTGGCATGTGTCTGTAATCTCAGCACTCTGGAGGCTAGGACAGGAGGATCATTGTGAGTTTGAGACCAGCCTGGGCTACACAATGAGTCCAAGGCCAGCCAGAAATGTATAGTGAGACCCTGTCTCAAAAAGACCAAAAAGAAGAAAAAGGAGGAGGAGGGGGAGTTCACATTTGGAGAGAGAGGACTGGGAGAAAAAGGAAACAGAATTCAGAGATCACACCATGGACAAGAAACAGAGAGGAGGAGACAGAAAAAAAGAAACAATCACAAATAGGAGACATAGCACAGAATTTGGAAGGCTCACTGAAGGTACAGAAGCTCACTGAGAGGACATGGTGAGATGGCAGTAACAGGGAGAAGATGCCATAGAGACAGAGGGACAGATGCCTGCAGGCACTGGAGGAAGGCACCAGGCAATGGGTCCAGTAACAGAAACAAACATAGGTTGGCAGATAGGCAGGTCCATACAGCCAGGCCTGCCACCGTACAGAGTACCTAGGGCAGCCGCCATGGGGAATGGGAAGAAAATCAAGAATCCAAACCATGGGGACTTCCAGGAAGATGGTGGAGTGATAAATAGCAGAGAAAACGGTCTCTCAGAGTCACTGTCCAGATCCTGGAATATAGCATCATCAGAAAGAAAACAGGGAAAGAACTGCGTCCTCTGGACCCAAGAAGAATCTGGACTCTGAATTGAATCCCACAGAGAGAGTAAAAAAAAAAAACTTCAATGAAGAAGAAGGCAATAGCTGGCAGTGCCTAGTCCCTGAGATAGACTGACTGTGCAAGAGGAGCTGTTCGAACCTGGGGGTGCGCGGTCAAGATGATGGTGACAACTGACAACCCCAGAGGCCTCTGCAGAGATACATGGCAGTGGAGGGGAACAATGTAGATGAAGGACTGACTACACTGGCTTGTGGTGAATGCAGAGGACTCAGTCGTCCCACAGGGAAAGAATGATTAGCTCAGAGCCGTTTTGAAGAAAGGCCGGGTAAGCTCAGAACCCAGAACTTTTGCCAGCTGCCTCCAGCAGCACTCAGCTAGGTGTACACCTGTGGAATTTACTTGGATTGCAGCAAGTCTGGTCTCAGGGCAGGCCTGCTGAGATTACCCACTTCTCCACCATAAAACAACTGCCGACTTGCTGGGTCAGATTGGCATGATTCAGGACTCAGTCTCCACAGGTTGTCTCCTAATGAAATCGGACAGAGTCCTGGAACTGAACTGTTTTTCCTTCTTCTTTTTCTTTTGCTTTCTTTTCTCTTTATTCTTCATTGTTTATATATGAGTGTGAAAGTGGTTCCTAACCTCTTTGTGGGTGTGGTTCTGTTTTGTTCTTTCTTTTATCACTTCCATCTCTCTTTTCCTTCAACCTTTCTGCACCTTCTGCACAAAGGCGGGGTCCACCCTTGTCCTCCAACCTTACTTCTAATCACTTTCTCTTTTTTCCACTTCACTGTTTTCTCCTTAAACCATTTTAAATTTTAATCCCAAGAGCAAAATTGACACATTATGAACTTATTGCATATAATTTCTGGGGTTTTTTTACAACCTGTTATATAATCACAAATCTAGTTCATATGGTTAAAAGTTGCAAATTAAGGATTAGCTCAGTTTGTTGTTTTCTAGGCTATGTTTGATGCTATTGGTACCAATAGCCAACACTGACATAATTGTTGAAACAGCTGTTGGTTCTGATAATCCACGACTGAGATTAATTTAAGGTCACAGAAAATATGGTGGCACAGTGCCAAAGAACCAAGAACTAGGCCAAACAAGCAACAACTTCTCATCTCCAACATACTGAAGAGTTAAGATCTTCCAACAGACTCAAAACCCAAAAACCAGCTATACCTGGAAGTTTCATCAGAGAAGTAATCATCACCTAAGGGTCCTAAAATACTACCAACAAAACAACACATTACAGGCAACTTACAAGCATACCCCCAGGAATTAAAGTAAAAAAGATTAAGAATAATTGGATTCAATGAACAATCAGGAGATACCACAAAGAGAGAAGACATTTAAACAAGATGCAACCCCAGGCATCCAGTTCACTGAAGGCAAACCCAGGGGGCAATGAAGTGGGACAATTTGAAAGCTCCCCACCAGGTCCTTCTGAAGTAGAAACAACAAAGCAATTGAATGAGGCTCTGGAAACAATGAAATCAGAAATAACCTCTCAGATAATTACAGAGGCTGCCAAAATATATACCATGCTTAGTGACATTAGAACAGACACAGACAAAAAAATCAAGGAGCTTAAGAAAATTATGGAAACACAGCATAGGAAAAAAATGGAATCCATAAAGCAGGTTTGAGCAGATATCCAGGAGAATAAAAACTCCACTGAAAGTATTCAAAGCAAATTCAGCCAGTGTGAGGCCAGGATCACAAAGACAGACTGGCATTTAACAACCAGGAAAAGAATGATTTCTCAAAAATAGCAAAGGATTGGGGCTGGGGATTTAGCTCAGCGGCATAAGCGCCTGCCTTGCAAGCAGGCAGTCGTGAGTTCAATCCCTGGTACCAATAAAAACGAAAAAGACTAAAAAAAAAAAAATAGCAAAGGATCATGAGAAATCAATACAGAAGCTGCTAGGTGAGACAAAAAAGAATAATTTAAGATAATTGGAGTCAATGAACAATCAGAAGATACCACAAATGACATTAAAAACATGTTCACAGATATCAAGGCAGAAAACTTTCCTGGTAGAGAAAAAGAATTTGACTTCAGATAAATGAGTCATATAGATCTCAGTTAGCAATCATTTTAAAAATCTACAACCAGGCATATCATAGTCAATATTCCAGAAAATCAATACAAGAATAGAATCCTAAAAGCTGTTAAGAGAAAAGAAACACATCAAGAAACAAATAAAATAAAGTCCATCAGAATAACATCTGACTTTTCAGCACAAACTCAAATCAACGAGAGTTTGAAGAGAAGTGCTCCAGTTTCTTTTTTTTTTTTTTTTTTAATTTTTTAAAAAATTTTATTTAAGGAGAAAAGAAAAAAAAGCAGGGAAAGGGTACAAGTTATACAGATTTACAGAAAAAAATGAACAGTAGAAAATCACTAGTTAATGGATTACATATTGTCAACTTAGAAATAATTGTTCAAGTC